AATTCCAGGTAAAGACCATAGGGGGAGCCCATGGCACTTGGATATCAGACCATGTGAGGGAGCCAATGACATTCCAGGTAAAGACCATGGGGGGAGCCCATGGTACATGGATATCAGACCATGTAGGGAGCCCATGACTTTCCAGGTAAAGACCATGGGGGAACCCATGGCACATAGGTGTAAGACCTTGGGGGGAGCCCATGGCACATAGGTGTAAGACCTTGGGGGGAAGCCCACAACATCCTGGAGTAAGACCCGGGGAGGAACCCACGACATCCCTATATGTTTATATGCATGACTTGTGTAGTTGATACGATTTATGTGATTATGTGTGTAAGACCTTGGAGGGTTTCCATGGCATCCATATATGTCCATATGCAAGGCTTATGTGATTGATGTGGCTTATGTAGCTTATATGTTCGATATGGTTTATGTGATTATGTGGGGTATGCTCTAGGGAACTCACTAAGTTTTGTGCTTATAGTTTTGTTTATGGTTTCAGGTATCTTCGGTTTGGAAAGGAAGATGGCTTGATCGCAGCGCACACACCCATGTTTTCCGCATTATGTGATTTTGGGATCTAACTCTGATAAATGCTTTTTTTAAACAATGTTTTTGAATGGTTTGATTAAGTAACATTTGTATTTGACTATAATGAAAAATAAAATTTTTACCCTGAATTCTTGGGGTCGTTACATTTCGGCTTCCCAAGACCTAATTGAAGAAGATTGTTAAACCTTTAATTGTTTGGGGAAGAAAGTTCGAGTCGTGTTCTATGATTTAAGAGGAAGTGAAAAACAAAATACCGATCAAATTAGCTCTAAGTGGTGTGATATTCGACTAAAATGCACCGAATTTGGAGGAATTTACAACACCCCCCTAAACATACGTAAAAGTGCATCAAACGATTTCAATGTCTTCAAGGCGACTTTGGACCAATTTAAAAAAATAACTCCAACTCACAAAGCTTTTCCATATGTGAAACTATGGCAAAAATTGAAGATGCTCCAAAATGGAAAGAGCAAACGAAAGGAACATCACAATCTTCCGTCTCAAAGCGTTCATGAAACCCTAATACAACTTCCCAACAATCGGACGAGCGAACACACATCGATATCAGTGATGATCCGCTCGATCTTGAAGACGAGCAACCTCTTCGTCGACCCGTTAGAAGAAATAAAACAAAAAAAGCGGCGTCAACGACTTCTAACTCTAGTGTTATGGATCATTTTGGAGAGAAATTTGATCGATATGTGCAAGTTCAAGCGAACAAAACTGAGCTAATGACTTAGATGGAACAAAAAATGATTGAAGCACAAACGCCGTTTCAAGAGGCACAAGAGTCGCTTCAAACAAAAACCAATATAGAAATCTTGAAAATAAAAGCGAACGACCTCGACGACGAAGATTTGGAGCTTTTTATCGCGATGAAAGAGTCGGTTCGAGTCCGACGTAGAATAGAGGGTAGTTTATTTTAGTTATGCTTGGTATTTTTAGGTTTTTTATTTTTAATGTTATTCTTTTTTTTAATTAATATGATTTTTATTTTTAATGTTATTTTTATTTTTTTATTTTAATTAATGTAGTTTTTATTTAATGTAAGTTGGCATTTTCATTTAATGAAAAACTAGTATTTAAAAAAATTATATGATTTTTATGTATTTTTTATTTAAATTTATTTTAAAAAAATAAGGTAGAGTGTTATGTTTAATGGTAGGTATCTCATGTTAGTAGTTGGGAGTGTAGTGATGATGTGGTATTCACCACTACAGTGGTTAGTGGTGTGTAGTGGTGGGTATAACGGATGATCTTATTAGAAAAAAGACTAACATATAATGATACAAATTAAACAAGTTTAAAGGCATAATGTTTGTTATAGCCGAAGAATAATACTAAAATTGATAAAAGTTTCAAACTAAGATGTCTTATAGGAAGAAAACATTTGAACTTATTATGCAATAATTTGTAACCAAAATCAAATAATATTAGAAATTTTCAAAATACAAGATATTAGATATTAAAACTTAATATGTGCTAGATATTGAAAGTATAATGCTAAATCTTTTTCAAAATACAAAGACTTAATAAAAAATCAATGTATTTAGATGAGATGTTCTCGTACGTGAGACCATTATTAATGAGATGTTCTCATATGTAGTTCCTCCCTCACTTATATCAGTAACTTAATTTACAAATTAGTTAAATAATATTGATCTCCTAGTTTTCTCTAAATAGAGGATGTCTTCGATTTCAGTTTCGTTTATTTCCATAGCAGACAACGAGATTCTTTATGATTACTTTCATCTGATTCGAATATTAATTAGGGAAGACATTAAACATTTTGTCATGGTGTTTTTTTGTTTTAGAAGTGCAAATTCAAGTTTGGATGATTGAACGTGTAAAAAAATATTAAAAATTAAATGTATACAAATGATAAATATATTTTAATAATTATTTATGAATTATAACCGATTAATAATGGATGTCAATGTGTCGGTGGATACTCCTTTTGAAAGAGTTGATATTTTCCTGTTTTCATGAATAATTGCAAAAGTTGACTTGATATAATTAAAATATGTTATATTTGTATTGACATAGATGGTCTTAAATTGTCAATGTCTTTGTTGTTTTTTCCTATAGGTTTATTGGGTAAGGTGGGCAACGAGCTTTTGAGACTTCACGTATTATTGTTATGCATCATACACTTAATTAACATGTTATTATAATAACTATCCAAAATACAAACCAACCCAAAACATCACATACATAGGGGTGGCAAATCGTATTATCGTTTCGTGTTTCTGTCTGACACGACACGATAATGTTTCATGTAACACGGCACGACACGATGCCTTGTTTTTTTAACTAACACGAAAACGAACGAATTAAAAAACGACAAACACGACACGACACAAAAAAAGATAACATATACTAAAAACTAGTGTATTTAACGAATATTTTATTAAATATAACACGACTAACACAAAAAACACGATAAATAACTGTTAAATCGTGTCAATTTCATTTCGAATTTCGAACACGAACACGATACGACATAGTGTTTTTTACAATTAACACGACACGAAGTCAAATTTCAGTTTCGTCCAAATTTCGTTTCGTGTCATGTATTTTTGTCGTGTCATGTCATAAATTGTCACCCCTAGGGATAAACAAATAACCATTCCTGTCAAACCATAAACAGTTATCATATAAATTAATGACAAGAACAATAGAAAATAATAAACTTACAAGGAAGGCTCTGATACCAAATAAGGGTGTATGGCGGTTTTTTCCAGGTTTACCGTTAAACCATAAACAAATATGAACAAAAATTAAAATCAAGAAGAATAAATTTACAAGGAAGGCTATGAGAAGAGAAGCAACCAGAGTCGTATGTGCAGCATCAAGTGTTTTTTTTTTTTTTTTTTTTTTTTTTTTTTTTTTTTTTTTTTTTAATAAATGTATAAGGGATATAATATGAAGTGCTTGAAAGAACTTGGAATTTAAGAGATAAACTAAGAGAATCGGAAAGAGAGTGTTTAGAGAGACATGAGGAAAATAAGAACTGAATTTTTTATTTGTATCAATATTCGATGATTTTTACAATTCGTTTACAATCATTTATATAGGCAAAGGGTAGCATAATATTTACAATTAAAATAGCGACAGACAAAACTTGATATTACATAAAGTAAGAAAAGACTACACACCAAATAAAGTGATGACACATATGTAAAAGTAAAAAATAATAATTCTATACGACAACTATAAATGGCCCTTGAACTTATTATATCTTGTCTTTTTCACAAATGGCCCTTAAAAAACATCACTTGCAAGACAAGACATAACAAGTTCAAGGGCCATTTATAGTTGTCGTATAGAATTATTATTTCTTACTTTTACAGATGTGTCATCACTTTATTTGGTTTGTAATCTTTTTTTACTTTATGTAATGTCAAGTTTTGTCTGTCGATATTTTAATTGTAAATATTACGCTACCCTTTGCCTATATAAAGGATTGTAAACGATTGTAAAAATCATCGAATATTCATTCGAATAAAAAATTATGTTGTTATTTCCATCATGTCTCTCTAAACACTCTCTTTCCGATTCTCTTAGTCTATCTCTTAAATTCCTAGTTCTTTCAAGCACTTGATATTATATCCCTTATACATTTATAAAAAAATAAATAAATAAATAAATTAAATTAAATTAAATTAAATAGAAATAATAAGTTGCTGCACATATGACTCTGTTTGCTTATCTTCTCATAGCCTTCCTTGCAAGTTTATAGTAAACGTGAAAAAAAACCGTCATACCTCTTTTCTATATGTATCACTCCAAATTGTTTAATGTATTTTCCTTGTGAGTAGAATAAAATTTGTGTTACCTATAATTTAACAATTTATACGAGTGAACCAATACACCGTTTACAATAATAAGTGAAAATAATTTTTGCCCCATGTCAATCTCTAGTTAGTTTTGATAATTATCATTTTGTGATATTTTTTTTAAATAAATTGCAATTAATTGTTTCTTCTTTCTTTATTTCAAAATTTTATTTTAAGAAATGTTTATTATTTATATTTTAATATTTTATTTTTTTTAATCAACCTGTATAATACACGAGTTCTACATCTAGTATTGATTTTAATGCTTGCTTTTAAAAATTGATTAAAAAAATTAAAAAGAAATTTGATTTCTCATTATTTTAAATTTAAGCAAAATCATAAAAGCTGGGACTAGGCCTTGCTTCCACATGACACCGCCAGTATCTGCCACGTCCAAGTAAAATCTAGACACCTCTCGAAATTAACTGCCACCTAAATCTGCTATATATCTACAAGAACCCAGTCTCTCGCTTTTCATCGAATATTATACCAAACCGCACACATCGGCATCCCCAAGAATCAATCATGCAGTCGAGATTAGCAGTCTCTAAGCTCAACAGGATACTAACGGCAACACCCAAATCCAAATATCAAACAATCCACCCACGAATGGTCTCTTCCTCCTCCTCCTCCTCTTCCTCTGGTAAGAACATGGAGGATGCCATGACACAAGGAGTTGACACGGAGGGTGAAACCGGAGATGCCAAACCAGATAATCATGATGACAATATTATTCCAACCAAAGAAGACCATCGTTATATGCGTCCTAAGACAGTGCCGCCAAATTTGTCAGCCTCAAAGCTAGAAACTCCGGGGGTGAACACGCCGTTTGATCCTCACGTCCAGCAAAAGCGCACCAAGGCGGAGCTGAGCTTCAGCTGCGCGGGACCAGATGGTTCACCATGGCCGAATGAAAACGATCACAAGACTACCGGAACTCATGAAAGGAAGGAGCAAGAGCAAGAGAAGGATGATAAACACTACTTTGAGCACCACAAGGCTTCTCCCTTGTCGGAAATTGAGATAGCTGATTCCAGGAAACCTCTTACTAGGGTCCTTCATGGGACGGGGACGACGGGTGGTTATTTTGGTGATCAGCAGGTGATGACGTGGACACCGGAACAACTTGATACTGCGGAGCAGTCTCTACTAAGAGCCTCACAGATATTTCGAGAATCAGCTGCGAGAGGAATTCCGGAACTGCCTCATTCAAGGAGACTCAGACAACTTCGTGGCGAGGATTGGTAGCTGTAATTCTAATTGCTTTTTCAGTCATATCGAGTATTGTATGATATATGCTTATGGTGTGTTACATAATTATTACGTTCAATGTTAATATATATCAACGTGTTCGCCGAATATTGGTCTTAACAATCGCTGCACTGCACAGAATTTTGTCCATTTATGATCTGCAGAAACTGTGCATATAAAAGATAGACGGATAATATTAAGAATCGGTGCACGTACGAATGCATTATACATAAAGGTTCAGTAAACTAATTATGCTTTCATAATTTCCATGCATCTAGATCTTGGAACTAGAATTTATTGCAATAACAGACAACAGCTAGTTTACTTGGAACCAAGATGGCGTTTGATTACATTTACATCTTCAGACCAAAAGAGAGCCTTCCATGACTGTGATGGCTTTACCTCGAAGAAGTACTCTTTGATTCTTGTTATCTAGATGGATATCTAAAATGCCACCTCTAGGTGATGCTTGGTATGCAACAAAATCACATTTCTCCAACTTATCGTTCCAATAGGCTGCTAGGGCACAGTGTGCACTTCCGGTAACAGGGTCCTAAAAGAGAAACAATTATAAGCATTTCTGCTACTACTAACATAATATTGCATACCATATTAGCTAATTTTTCACTCAACTTGCTAAAATTGTTAAGCCTAAAGAATATTCTAAGATATACTTAATATATATTTCCTCTAAAGTTGGTCTTACTTTGGTGTGCTTCAGTCCTACCTCAGAAGCTTAAGTACTTTGTGTCCCTCAATTCTCAAATGGGACACTTTGTTTGGAAAGAAAGAAAGAAAAAAGAATTTCAAAATATTTAAATTACCTCATCAATTCCATATTTAGGGCAGAAGAAACGACTATAAAAGTCAAACCCTGATCCATTAGGCGCAAGTCCTGTGAATAATATCCCTCTGCCTGGTGCTTTTCTCATCTTATCAAATTGCGGCTTCAATTCCGCAATTTCCTTTCCTGATGGAAGCACCACCTGCACCAAAGGAAAATACAAAAAAAGATCATGACCTTCATCGACTCTTTTCTTAAATGAGAGTCATGTAAGAGCAGTTTTAATATAATACATACAAGGATGTCATCTGATGCTGTCTTCTTTACATCAACAACAGAAACACCATTCAATATTTCAGAAATTATTGTTGAAACCTCAAAATCATTAGAATCTGAAACTGGAACAACAGGGAAGTTCAGTTCAATCAGGAAGCTGGTTTGTGCTGCACCATTTTCGTTGCTTCTTTCAGGAACTTTTTTGGCAGTCAAAATTCCAGAAAGGGTTGAGAATTCAACTGTGTTAGATTTCACCAAGCCTGATTCGAAAAGGAAGTGGGAGGCTGCTAAAGTAGCATGACCACAAAGTTCAACCTATCATCAGAAATCAGAATAGAACAAATTTAGATTGATGAATGGCAACACACTAATCTTAGCTTTAGTTCCTAATACGAAATTCGCTTTGATCTGCAAGTACGCATATAAAATTTTGTTTGGCAAATGTTCTCACAGAAGTTCTACCAAATTCCCCTAAATGAACAAATGATAACCTAAATAAACATATAAATAAAGGCGATCATATATAGAAATAGAAATTCAAACTGATGATAACCTCAGCTACAGGAGTGAACCATCTGAGATGGAATCTAGGATTCTCCGAGCCGTGGTCGACGATTGAAGTCAAGTAACAAGTCTCGGATAAATTGAATTCAGTCGCAACTGACTGCAACCACTTATCATCTTTCTCTATCTCCTCTAACCAACACACAGCCGCCGGATTTCCTTTGAACGCGGTATCAGTAAATGCATCCACCTGTTTCTCAAAGAAACAACACTGGATTAATAACCTTTTAAGCTTTCAAGCTTTCGGTTGCTACGCATTTTGCAGCTCATATACTAATGCGCCCTTGCCCTTGTGTGTTTTTGGCAAGTGCGTGAAAATTGCGAGAGAGATGATAATAAGGAACTTACCACGGAATATTTAACAAGCTTTTTCGCCATTTTAACAGAAGCCTTCAGGCCAACGTCCGCCACTCTCCGCCGGAGTCGACACCTGCGTTTTAGTATCCGATTGTTTCCCCTTCCTGGCAAGTACTGGTAAGTGGCAACTGTCTGTAGAAAAGAATCGGTGAATTTACATAAAAAGTCTCTTCACTTCCGATTTATTCAAATTTCAACATTTTGTTGTACATAAATGTTTATTGATACTATCATCCTGTCTTGTGCAAAAAGTAAATCTCATCCCTTGAATAATCCATAGTAAATTACATGAGTGGTCCATATGGCTTTGGGTAATTTGTACGCTTGGTATCTAACTTATTTTTTTAACTCAGAAAATTTCTACTATTTGTTTTTGTTACGTATTTGATCCTTACTGTTTATTTTTGTTACATATTTGGTCTTTGTGTTACCTAAAATATTATTTAAATAGGAAAAAATAGTGGGGATACGTAAGGTAACGTGAGAGTGTTGGGGTTGGGGTGTGTTTATTTAAATAAATTAAAAAATTAAGTGAAAAATAGTCTTTTTAGGTAAGATAAGGACCAAGCGCGTAACAAAAACAAACAGTAAGGACCTTCCAAGTTGAAAATAAGTTTGGGAACAAACATGCAAATTATCCTAAACAATATGGACCATTTGTGTAATTTACTCAATAATCTAAAATATTAATTCTTTATTGGATATTTTAACATATGTTTAAATTTAAAAACAATATGGATGCCTTTTTCCGTAAGACAAGGGAGGTGCTAGAGTTTGCGGTGGCATAGGGAATTGTCCAAAAGAGAAAAAAATATTGATGAACATTTGCTATGTGAAGATTTGGAGTTTATGGAAAGCAATGAATGATAGAGCATTTAATCAAACTCGGATTATATCAACAAAGGTCAACGATATAGTTAAGTCAATGGTACTCATTTGGATTAAACACAAGAGTAGTAAAGAAGCATATAATTGAGTAGATTGATATATTAATCTGTTCATGTAATAGTTGGTAGGGATGAGCATCGGAACCGGCCCGGGAACCAAAAGTTCTGGAAAATAGGAACCGAACCGGACCGTCGGTTCTACCGGTTTTCGGTTTCTACCGGTTCTTGTCATGTCTTCAATGTTGAAACCGATCCTTAAGAAATAGCAACATACGGTTCTAGTTTTTGTTGGTTCTACCGGTTCTCGGTTCCAAAAATCCACAACAATATCGTCCCCGTCCGACCGATTTCATTGGGTTCCGTTTTCGGTACCACTTCCGGCTGGTTTCCCGATCCAAATGTTCATCCCTAATAGTAGGAATAGAAAAATATATCCTCTATATAGGTGGTGTATACGGTGGTGATGTTTTTGGATGTATTGGTCTTGTGCTCCACCCTTGCCTAGTTCATGGTTAGGTAGGGCTCTCTTTCTCTTATTCTTTAAATAAAATTTGTTGGTTTCAAAAAAAACTTACTAAATTATAAGTAAAATATTATACTTATATATAATTTTATTTTTATATTGGTATTTTATATTAGAATTTATCTTAGTTATATATTCAAATAAAAGGTTAGATTACCTAAAATAGATGTTCTTTAAGAATTAATATAGATCAGGGAAAATGAATTAAAAATGTAATGAGTTTTCCAAAATATATAAAAAAATACAATTGTTTTTTTAAGCACACAAAATACCATTGAACGGGCTATTGTAGGTAACCATCAAGTTATTCGGTTTTCCAAAATGTTCAAAAAATATCATTGTTTTTTAGTAAAAAAATAAGGAAAATACCGGCAATAGTCAAAAAAATGGTGGGTATTTTCAAATTTTAAACATGAAAATGGACATTTCCAGGTATTGACATGCATTCCGCGGAGGTAGCTCCGCAGAGCTCTGTGGAATCTACTGTAGCTCCACGGAATGGCAAAATCGTCAAAAATTAGTGTATTAAAAAAAACCTCAAGATCCATTCCGCGGAGCTACAGTGGATTCCGCAGAGGTAACTCCGAAGAACAGATCTTCATTTAAAAAAAAAAAAAAAAAAAAAAAAAAAAAAACTCCTCCAATGATTCTTTTACAGGGGCGGCTCAACCACTTTGGGGGCTCTAAGCGAACCAAAAATTTGGGGCCCTTTGACTTGTACTTTACTAAAATAATTAGTATACACATGACAGGGCATGAATCAATGTAGGGAATGCACGTTATGTATGTGGTGTTTGGATAAAGTTCATTATGTATGTGAAAAAATTAAGTCTAATCCAACTAGAATCAAGAATAATCATATTGAGATAAAGTGCATTATTGATGTGAAGCTGAACCAATGTTCTTTTTATATTCCTAGTAAAGGGACAATCATTTCAATTCTAACATACATTAATCACATACTAACCTAATTCAACAATTTAAATTTACACTAAAACAATAAACATACCATGTGAAACTGAACTAATGTTCTCTTATTTCTCATTTTATTTGTGATCTTTCTCATTGTATTTGTTCACCAATGTCAAACTAGATGGGGGCAACAACAAATTCATTTTTTCATCAACCGAAAACCATTTCAATAATCCTTTTTTTGGGGCAGCAAGGTGTTTAACAGAAACACATATTTATTCTGAAGACAATAAAGTTGAACCATATTTTTGGAAAATATGGTCTTTAGTGGTATCTATTATGTTAGAAATCAGAAAATAAATATATTGAAGAACTATATAGTAGAGAAACAAAAATTGAGATTCCTAGTGAAACCATAAAGTTTGTGTATTGATACATTATGCACTTCATACAATCTTGTTTTGGGATTATTATTGCAAAAATAATGTGCGGATAAGACTACTATCATTAAAACCCTAATGAAACGGGAAAATCAATATCTGATAATGGAAAAATCAAGTGAAAACAATCAAACCTGCACATACCTTGAATCATCATAAAATTTTGAACAATGGAGAATCGGAGAAATTCATCTAGAAGCCGAGAATGGAGAAGGAAGAAGAACAATGAATGTATTTCAGCAATAAGCGGTTCAAGCAACCTTTCACTGTTCAAAAACTAAAGATCCATTCATCAGAGCTACCTCCGTGGAATCCACTGTAGCTCCGCGGAATAGATCTTGAGTTTTTTTTCATTTTTTTAATACACTAATTTATTTACGATTTTGACATTCCACGAAGCTACGGTAGATTCCACAGAGCTATCTCCGCGGAATGCATGTCTATACCCGGAAATGTCCATTTTCATGTCTAAATTTTAAAAATACCCCCCATTTTTTTTACTATTGCCGGTATTTTCCCACGAAAATATCATTAAAGTATATTATTTGTATACAGAATATCAACGAAATATACATATATTCAAATAAAACCTTGTGGTAACTGGTTATTTCAGGTAAATGAAAAATTACTTAAAAGACCAAAATGTTAAAAAAAATACCGTATTTTTTGTTGACTTCATTATTGTCGGATTATGTAGAACACGATCATCAGAGATCATGCAACATCATATAAATTCACAACAATTGTGCAATCTTTTTTATTCCCTCACTCAATCGTTCTTATGGTAACATCTATACATTATACAGATATAAATATTATACATCAAGGTTAGTCGTTCATTAGTGTTATGGCACAAGAGACATAAACAAGAAACGAGTGTGACATTATGTCATGAGTATTTCTAAATGTGGATATAGAGAGTAGGAGTTGCGTTTAATTCTTCGGGACCAGTGAGAGATAAATAATCAGGAACACTCAGCTTTATGTGGTTGATTTGATGACGATTCATAGTCAAAGTAAAGAGAAAAACATATGTGTTGAAGCGCTAACTTACATCCTAATTGATGGATTCTTAGTTATGTGTTTTTCTATTATTCTATGTAGATACAAACTGATCGAATGTGGGAATAAAAGAGAGTGCACACTTGGTGTGAATTGGTATGAAGATGAATGATCTTTGATGATCGTGTTCTATATAACCTATAAACAACGACGGTAACAAAACATGCTCTGAAAAAACAACAATAGTATTTTTTGAACATTTTGAAAACTTTAATGATATTTTCTGATCAATGGTAATTTTTTGTACTAAAAAGCAATGGTATTTTTTAAACATTTTGAAAACTCTATTACAAATTCCTTTTATACATGTGATTTGATTCCTTTTATACAATGTGATTTGCGTTATATCTTTTTCCACAATTTGATTTTTCTTGTGTAACAAGTAATTCAAATCCTTTTGAACATGACATGATATGCGTATACAGTATGTTTTTCCACGCTTGGCACATGAGAGTTGACTTTCCAAAAAAAGATCATACAACAGAGTAAATAAAATAATAAAATGCATCATTATAATAAATAAATAATAGAACAAACAAATAAATAGTTCTTTAATTATAACAAATGGAACAAATGGTTACATAAGTTGCAATAAAAAGGAAATAACACACATACACAAATTGATTAAAAAAGAAGTCCCACCCAATTTTCAGCAGAAAAGGGGGAACATATAGTATCAGCCAAAAAAATTTGGCACTTCCCCATATTATCTATATCTATCAGCTAGAGTAAAACAGAACAGAATAAGTTTTTACATCCAGACATATTTTAACTGGTTCAAACTTATCTATTTACATGGGTCGGATCAGGATCCGGATCCGCTTACCAGAACCCGCCTTTTGCCATTTTCATAAACTGGCAAAGCGTGATGGTTGGGAGGTCGTTGTTACCCGCTTTCTTCTTCTTGATTTTTGTCATCTTCACAACCTTTGCCCCTTTTGTTTCCATCTCGGTTGTTGAGACCAAGTTATAGAACTGTCAACAACCAACAAGATTCAAGTCTGTTTGATGTGATGGAATGGAATCGACAATGTGAAGGTAATGGAATGGATCATTACATTCCATTATCGTCATTTTTGGTTGGCTCAAAGACATGAAATCAGTTATATGATTTTAGCAAAGTCTGAAGTAGATTTAAATGTTACCTCACAAACACCATGAAGTAGCAACCTATGGAAAGGGTCTTGGACATATATCACCAGAACCTCCTCATTACCTGCCTCCGAGACAAAGCCCCGAATGCTCTCCTGAACACAAACAAATATATTACATATTTGCCTGTCATCGTCACTTTGTCAACAATTGAAGGGTATTTTAGACAATTCAATCACATATATTATATGATATAACCAAAGTGAAGGTGTAAAATACCTCATAACCATTAACAAGTTCAGGAAGGAAGCTTCGGCGGAACGCGTCTCTAGTTTTGCAGTCGACCCTGTGCCATGCAGTCAAAGCAGCGATCTTATCAGCATCCACACGGCTTTTCTTCTTTGATGAAGAAGAACCTTTAAGCGCCTCAATTGCACCAGCCTACCAGAAACAACCAAAAGCTTTCAAAGTTGAAGCATTGTTACAAGCATTAAGACACAGGGTTACCTCCTTATCCATGTCGATGTTCCTAAATTTGTCCCACTCCCCCACGTTTGTGAAGCAAAAGGGTGAAGGTTGTGCCTCGTCACCTGTAAAATGAAATAGCAACTCATAATCTATCTAATAAGGTCTAAACTAAAGCATTTATACAGAAGCTGCTATGACTCAAAATTCAAAAAGATATTTAGATGTATATATGGATTTACCCCAAGGTGGTGGAGCAAACAGGCCTCTAATTTCATCTCCAGTCAAACGAGGTACAAGCTCCAACAAGATACGATCATTTATCCATCTTCGTGCACGTCTGTTGCTGACCTGGACAAAATGGAAGATTTAACTTTTAACTACATGATTTCAAAAACAATGATGGAGAAACCACACGAAATGGCTGAAAATTAAGTTATTATCAAAATGATCCAACTTCCATATCATGTTCAGATTATTCAGTTGACAAACAAGACCAAATCTTTAGCATAGAGCTTCCCACAAAAAGGGTAAACAAGAAGCTTTAGTAAATTGAAAGATTCAATAAACAGTCAGCAAGATCATAGTCATGGCACTAAACATATAACCAAAAAGTTGTCAATTTTGTCCGTCAATAATTCAATTTAAAGTATTACATATGCATGGTATTTTCTTTTGAAATCAACAAAAATTAAGAATCGGCTCCGGAAAGTTAAAGATTGTAAGGGTAAGTTTTAATACTCTGTCGTTCAAGCTCTCAAGATATTCGATTTTTTTCTCAAGCGCAAATCCTCGAGATTTCGCATCGCCTGCAAAGATCCAAAAATTTCCCAGCCAAAAAATTGTCCCATTCAAACCAGAATACAGATAATTAACTTATATTCAAACGAAAAAAAAAAACGATAAAGTTAGGGCAAATATTGGTACCTTTCGTATGATCAAATCGAGAAGCCGATGAGAAAATATCGTGTTCTCCCTGCAAAAAAACATCTGGGGTTGCCATGGTTGAACGTTTTGATGGATAGCAGAAGCTGATATCTTGTTGAAGATAGAGAAGATTAGCGGAATCTGAGCCCTAAATAGAAATAAGCAGAAAAGGGGGAATATGCTGTGATGCGATGCAGTCGAACGCGGGATGCTTCTTGTGTGTATATATGTAGATTGGTGAAGTAGGCGATTTGGGTCCTCTAAAGTATGAATAATTGCACAGAACTTCCCACAGTATTAAAGACTACAAAAGGTACCATATGGTATGAAAGTTTGCAAAAGATCCTCATGTGGTATGAAAACATTGAAACAATAACTTGTAGGGTGAAAATTGAAAAACTAAATGGATTTATTATAAGTTAAACTGCAGAAAAGTCACTAACTTGTTATTTTTTTCCGATTATCATGTTTTTTTTTCATTATGTTTTCAATTTATTGTAGTTGATCGGTTTCAGGTTACTTGGTTGTTATTGCTGACGTGGCATGGGATGATTGTGTGACATGCTTACATAATATTATTTAGTTATGTGATGACACGTCAAAATTGAAAAAAGTGATGTAAAAGCCACTATGTTTTCATTTTTTGCGATTTTTACACTAAATTTTCATTATTTTACAATTTTGACACTTTATTAATAAAATATGCAATTTACCCTCTAGTAAAAGGTTTAAACTTTAAATATTAGCCAATACAATGAAAATTCAAACACATCCATAAAAACATACTTCCTTGTAACAATCCAAATTTTCAAAAGAAAATTTTCATTTTTAAATACTCAAAACATTTCCAATAAGCCACAAAATCTCAAGAACAATTGTTTTCAAATTCATATCATCAACAATTTTATTATAAATATCAGAGTGTCCCATAAAAATGCCTGAGAGAGTGCATGATGTGTCATCAAGCATTGTCATTGCCCTTAAGCTCGGAAGTACCTGAAACAAACCAACAAATTGTAAGCTAATGCTTAGTGAGTTTCCCAAAGCATACCCCACACAATCCACATAATCCATACGAGCTATAAAAGCTACGTAAACCACATAAGCCATGCATATCAACCTATAAGGATGTCGTGGAAACCCTCCAAGGTCTTACTCTGGGTGTCACTGGAACCCCCACGTGGTCTTAACCTAGTGTTATAGGAACCCCCACATGGTCTTAATCGTCTGCAATGGGAACCTCCACATAGTCTTCCCTAACACATAAAATATCATATAAACTAAATGTACGACATACCAGGATGCCATGGAAACCCTCCAAGGTCTTACCACGAATGTCATGGGAACCCCCGCATGGTCTTAGTCTACTGCCACGGGAACCCCCCAGGGTCTTCCATACTAGTATCATAAAGATAACTATCATATCACATAACACACAATCAACTAGCATTCCACATAACAAATAATATGGGTCAGCCTTGGTGTCTTCGACCCATTGGTATGGTGAGGAGGCTCACCTTTATGTGCTGAATCCAAAAGTTGCTCTCCTAACAATCTGTGAACATTTGTGATGAACAATAATACCATTATCCCAGGTTAAGGCTGAACATAATCCAATTGAAGAACCCAAACCTGAAGTCCTTTCACAATGGCCCAAAAAGTCTTCCTTTGTTATTGGGCCCAAAGGCCATATCCAAAATCATTAATGGGCCTCATGGCCCAATAAAGCCTAACCATAGTAACCATGGCCCAAACCAGATAAACTGGCCCACTAACTCAAAACGTGATCAGGCCCAAAGGGATTACAAGCCCAAAACAAGCCCGAGCCCATCTGAGGTGTGTATGCCTTGCGTACCACCCTGGTACGCACAGCGTATTAAGTCCCTGAGTCGTACGCGTTGCGTGCTCTAAGTTACGCCCAACGTACAAACTGATTAAGCACCTTCTTCCATTAAGTGCTTAATACTCGATGTTCTAACATCCAATATCAGATATGAGCTCATTAAGACGTCCTAGGGCATAAAGCTGGCAACTTTATTCCCTTGCATGCTATATAGAACTTAAAATCTTCATTCTTCACATTGGGACTTCATATAAAGCGTCAAACTCATGCATGGAGTCTAGATACTCTTCAAGCTAGCACCTTTATGCATCTAGCATGCTTACAAAGCTCAGATCTAACCATTTCAATATCTGGAGTTGCTCAACTCTTAAGGGAAGGTCTAAAACCAACTAAAGGGACAATATAGAAACCCTAGCTAGATCTAGTGAGTAAGATAGAAAGATCAAGACTTTATACCTCTAGAGACTCTTCAAGGTGAACTATATGCAAGTTCTTGAAGCCTAATGCCACTCCAAGCTTGCTTAGCAATTCCTTCTACTTGAATGAACTCTAAAATGGCCACAAATACACTCCTTAAGCTCAAAAACACTCTGGAGTAGAAGGGTGAAATAAGGCTATGGAGGCTAATTGGGGTTTAGTCTAAGAGGCTCAAGGGTGTTTAAATAGGTGTCAACTCTGAGATAGGGTTTTGTCCCTCTATCGCATATGCCCCGCGTACCTATACGTACACCCAGCGTATGCGGCCACCCTCTGCATTCATGCATCCTTAGTACGCTAAGCGTAGGAGTACGCCCCGCGTACTAAGGGACCTTTTATGCCATCTTTTCCATTTCAAGGGTCTAAAGATTAATACATGATTTAGAGTGTTACATTCCTCCTTTTAGCAGTCAAGAAAACCATCGCAAAAAGCTCGAATTTAAATCCCTTTATTCATCCTCTATCTCAAAATCAATTGCCTCACATTTCAACAGAAACATGTTAGCCATATGGTCTTCTTTATCATACGATTATTATTCTCTATTAGAATGTAAAATTTGGATTCTCCATTTGTAAGTCATTAATTTCTAAACAAGAGAATCTTCATGTTTTCTCTTTCATTCATTTCATAGGTTATAACTTGCTAACATGGTATTTTCACCTAACTCAAGTAAAAGGTTTTTTGTTGTTAAATTATAGCTAGAATCATAGTTTGTCCTTGACATGCATGTAAATCTAATGATACCTTTATTCATTCAACAAGAGACAAGCTTTGCATTATTGACATCATATAGTAACTTTGATTCAATTAAGGATTCTTTTGGCAGGGAAGGTTTTCATAGTAATCTAAATGATATTGCAATCTATTTGATTGAAAAACAAGGCCATATTTATAGTAATCAGAACTACCGTGGTCAATATTTATAATTCTCCTAGTTTTGGAAAGAATCTTCTAAATCAAAGACAAAATTCTAGGAAAGTTCACATACTATCCCCACATCACCATTACAAACTTTTAATTCAAATAAATATGTTGTAACATCCTAAAAGTTTAAGACTGGGTTCTTAAATTAATAAAGTAAATAAATGAAAATGATTTATATAAATAAATCATCAAGGGATAATCATATCATTAGTTGATATGAAGATTAGACAATTATAATTGAAAATAATAACATTTTTGAAAGTTAAAGGGTCAAAAATGTCAAATTGGAAAAATAGAATGAGTTGACCATATGGTTGACTCAGTAGTGGGAAAGGACTGTAAAATGTATATAATAGATGGAGAATGACTTATTATGTCAAAACATATGTTAAAATCACAAATATTGAGGTTTGTGGATTTTGGCTAAAATGCTCAAACTAGAGGGACCACATATGAAAAATGGGAAAATAAGACACACACCCTCTCATTTCATTTCCTAGATTCGTGTTCTTCATCCTAGAGATTTCTCTAATGGCGATTTTTTTTTCTCAAGAGCTCCTGAGGTTGATTCAAGTGATGAATTGAACATCCAAGCAAAAGGGAGAGGAGTCAAAGGCTTGCTAAGGTATAATTTTCCCTCGTCTAGCTCTATTTTCGAGTTCATGGGTTAGGGTTTAACCCCAATGTAGAATTTAGCTTTAATAAATTATTAGGGTTTGGTTTTCCAACCTCCCTTAAGTGGTTTTCATGGTTCTAATCTCAATCTAATCATCTTATTGATAGATTTGATGATTTTGCTAAAAAGTTCCATGAGCCCTAGAAAATCCACAATTGGGAATATTGCTATTGATGGTGAAATAAGATTGGATTCTATTACCTATATGATATTTGATAGCAATGAAACCAATTAGAATGCGCAAATTCATCCATGATGGCAGAATCAAACATAAACTTGTGTTTTTGATGGTTATGTGAGAAATTGTGATGAAAACAATGAAATTCTTGGAATGTGAACATTTGATGAGTATATGATACTCATGATCATGAGTTAATACTAACAATATGATTTGAATGCAAGAATATGAAGGATTGAGTGATATATGGTTGAATTTATGGAATAATTAGCTGTAAGAGCATTTTAGGAATCTAATGAAAGTTACATAATAAATCTCATATAAGAGATGAGTGACATTCATGGATATGAATTGACACTTTAAATATAGAAATGGAACATAACATGAAGGATCTCTTGTTCTATAAGTGGTTGTGGTGATTGTTTTAGCCTAAAAGGTAATTTAGGAAACATGGAACTGAATTGAGGATTACATGGTTAGTTTATGTACTTATAATGAGATTAATGAAGGTTTTATGTACTTGACAACATCTTATTGGGTATTCAACAAGTTGAGAACAAGTTTTGGGACTTTAGAATGTTCTAGTATAAAATGAACTGATTAACAGAGTCTGAGGATCATCATGATCTTTAAGGAGTTCAATGAGTACTTAATGGATTAAGTGGGTTGTTTCTGGATGATAAAACTAATGGGGTTTGAGCATAACAAACAATCCTATGTGCGCATGCAACCCTAAATAATTTGATCTACGTTTTCTCTGATTGAAAATACAAATTGAATAACAAAGTAGAAACCCTAGTACACTAGTATATAATCATAATTACACAATTAGGGTTAAGAAAATCATACCTCAATTGTTATGTAGTAATAACAATGAAAACCTTGTGTTTTTAAAGCCGTGAGAGCAAGCATCTCAAATTTCACGCCTCTAATGCTTCACACCCAACACTAGCAAAGTAAGTTGATGAAAAAAGAGTAAAGAGGATGAAATTTTCAACCTGACCCTCTAGGGAATCAGTTGGACAAAAATCATAGGGTTATGCTCTATTTATAGTTGCAGTCAGGAAACCCTAGATAAGCCCAAATCCAAGATTATCTTAAATCGAGTAATTATCCACTTTCCTGGTTATCCATTAAAGGCTATTCTAGAACCAT